GCTTCAGAGCTGTTACTACTACCATGGCTGCCTTCCATTTTTCAATTTCGGGCCCAGACAGGGCCTGGCGTATGGTAGTGGCTTCCTTGGGTGAGGTGTGGCGAACTGCTACTGCGAGTCCAAGGATGCGGAGGCCAGTTTCGTTGGTCTCTTTGTAGGCGAGGCGATCGTAATCGTCGGCGCCGGTTACTTCAATAACGTCGTCGTCGCTGTCGTGCCCAGTGCGGATAGTGTCTTGCAAGGGGTTCGGCAGTGGTAACTCGGCATCAGGAGATTGGCGCGCTGTGCTGTTGTATTTGTGGGCTTCACGAGTTGTATGGTCGGGTTCAAATTGGAAAACAGGTATGAAGGTTGGAGTCTGGAATGGGCTTGTAAGGGGGATGTTGGGAAAGGAGTCAAATGGTGTGTTGTCCGTTGCGTCTCCATCCTCTGCCACGTCAGCCTTATCCCATGATATGGCAAAGCTGCGGTGCCTCTCGAAAAACTTTTCTGGTGCATTGTCAGCTTTGCAGTGTTCCTTGAACAGTGGTAGAGTCAGCTTCTTGTAGAAGATACAGTCACGTGATTTTGTCACTTCGTGCGTCGCGTAGTCCAGCACGATCCACGCCTTGAACTCCTTTTCAATCCCGAGGTGGATGCCCCTGCGTGCCCGGTCAGCAAAAAATCCAGTCCTTGCTGTGTGGGCTCTGAAATGTACCATGCAGCAGAACACTCGAAGAAGACGCGTGTCAGCTTTTCTACCCGTCAAGCCTTGTAAGGCGAGATGTTGTTCGTCAGGCTTCGGAATGACCGCAAGTTGTGCAGCCGAATTGTGTGGTTCATCGCAAACGGCCAAAACTTTGTTGGGATGGCAGGCTGCTTCATCTGGGCCCTCAACCTGGTGGGCTCCTCTTTGCTTGTTCTACTACTCCTTCCTGCTCGTGAGCATTGGCAGGGACACTAGGTGCTCAATCCCTGTGTTGGTGAAGAGCTCCTTGAACCCGTTGTAGAAGTACTCCAAACCCCCGTCTGTCTGGAAGCTTTTCAGCTTCATTTCTCATTGGCGTTCGACACGCTTTATCCAGGTTACGAAGCAATCAAACACCCGCGAGCGATAGTCAATGTTGACGGCCCAAACGTAGCGCGTGCAGGCGTCGATGAAGGTCATCGTGTTATTTTCTCCATTAAGCCCTCCTTGGCTAAGTATCATGAAGTCGCTATTAACCTTCCCGAGTGGTTCGTACCGTTCGTAGCCTGGAGGTAAGTCCGGGAAGGGCTTGTGAGCGAGCAACGCGGTAGGGCAGACGAGGCACGGTGGGTCGTTTGAAGTTGCTTTAAGTACATCACCGCCGAGTAGAAGCAGTCCTTCCGTGTCCAAGTAGTTCTTGAGTGTGGCGTGCAAAGGGTGTTTGAGCCGCTGGTGCCAAATTTCTAGATTGGCACGATAGCTAACTGTCCTCTTGTGATACTTGTTTCTTTCTTCTTCGTCTTGCTGCCCCTTTTCAGGTCCTTTGTTGGTGACAGCACGTACGTCTGCTGCAAAGGCTCGAGCGAAGGCTTCTTTCAGGACAGCCTCGGGGATACCGGCGACATCGTCCGTGTTAGCGACGTGAATCGAGTCGTCGGTGGTCGGAAGGAGCTGCAGAGTTGGGAGTCGTGCCGCTTCAGGCCACTCGGAAGCAGCGAGTCCCTCCATCGGAACGCGGTGATAGAGGTACTCATTGCCGGTGACTGATATTAACGGAGGTCCTTGTTCCAGTGGTGGTGCTTCCCCGGTTCGGGTGGCTTCGCCGTTTCCTTGAAGTCGCAAGTCATGCCTTTTGACTCCTCTTGTGCTTCCTCTGCAAGTTCGTACGGATATTGGTCTGGAAGAGGAGGTCCGCCCCAGCTGGTACCGTGCGTTGCCTAGTACGGGTCTATTTCCGCCACGTCCGCAGGAGGAAGTGTTGGAGCTTCGGGATAAGGAGGACCTCGTGGTCCCTAGCCCCCTTGAGGTGCAGGTGGAAATCCTGCTGCTGGTGTTCCTATCACCCCCCACGCGTCGAGTGTAATACCAGTATTGGCCCAGCTAGGCGAAACTGGTCTTGTTATTCCCCATCATCTAGTGTCAGCTTGTCCTGTAGTTGCTGAACCCCCACTGTCTTCTTTTTGTTCCATTGTTGCAGGTCCTGTATATCCGAGAATGGAGGTAGAAGCTGTTGGGACTTCAAGCAGGTGAAGAAGTCCATCTGATGCGGGAAGTTCAAGATCCATCTCCGCAGGGTGCGACCATGTCGGCATCTCTGTGGGTGTTGTCTCCAGCAAAAGAGTCCTGTCTGAGTCGCTGGTGTTGCCCCGTGAGTCGAATTTTAGTACAAAAACGCCATCTTCGTCGATCGCCTTGCCGATGCTACTGTTTTTATAAAATAATTCAAAGGGTTTGTCTTCGCAGTTGCTTCGAATGTCAACTCCACACTTCATCAGTTGAGCTGCCGAGAGAAGGTTGAACTATGGATCGGCGACAACGAGCACATCTCCGATGTGGATGGTGAAGTTGGTGTCGCTTCACTACAGGTAAATTTCTCGGATGCCATAGGCTTGGAGTCGATTGTTGTTCACGACGGTGATTTTGCGCGGTCGTCGCATTCTTTTCGAGTTGCTGATGCATTTCGTTGATCCCACCATGTGTTGTCCGTAGCAGCTATCCAGGTACCAAGTGTTGAAGTTGTTGCGGCTTCGTCGCGCGATGCTGGCGATATTTGGAGTGATGATGCGGTCAACATCAACGTAATGAGGCGACAGATCATTCTCGTGCCTTGCGGGGAAGCTGGGAGGAGACTCCGGCATGCTCGGATGTATCTCGAAATCAGGTGGGATGTTGGTTGGCCTGTCGAAGTAGGGGCTAAGTGTGAGGTCATTGTTTGGGCTTGGTGTGACTGGGTCGATTGGCGCGATTGGCTGGAATTGAGTTTCGTCGTAGTAGCGAATGCCTCTGGGACGCGCCATGGAGCTCAAGACTGACCCTTTTTCTTTGTCCTTGGATGAGATGCGCGCAGGAGGGTGGCGACATTGTCGCTGTCGCGGCTGGAGATGAGAAAGGCGCCGAGAATTGTTGACCAGGTGGTTTGCTGCTGCGTCTTTCGTTAGCAGCCTTGCGTTTATAGCATCGATCCATAGTGTGACCTGGTTTCTTGCAGTATTTGCAGAAGAACCCTTTCTTCTCTTGTGACTCCCCTTCAGTTGCTCTAGCGAAGAACGTTAACTTCTCCCTCCTGCTATTTTTCTCATTGTACAAATCGATCTCCTTCTGCTCGGAGAGGAGTGTGGAGTAGAGGGCAGACTCAGAAATGGTTGCTCGAGCGCGAAGCAACGTCTGACATTGACGCTAATCGGGTCCTAGTCCGGAAAGGACTTGGAGATTAACATATCGTTAGGGGCGGTTCCGCCGCACCTCTTGATATGATTGCGCAGATTGCAGCACTGATTGATATATGGCCCCGCTTTCTCCCCTTGATTCATTTTGACCGATGTCAGTCGGCTGAGCAGGCGACTCGTGGTTGTCAAACTTGTCAGAATGTTATTGTTGTCTAGCCTGCAGTGGGGTACTCCATAGTGAGTACAGCCCAATTAGGGTTTGCTATATGTATCCAACTGCTTGCTAGTGAAACCCCTCTTTCTTGTTCTAAACTTTCTACTTCTTCTTTCTAACATGGTTTCAGAGCAGGTCGACCCCCTTGGGTCGATCCTGTGGGTGGGCCCACCACCTAACTGCTTCCGCTGCTGTTCTGCTTCTCGCGCGCCTCGGGCGCGCGCCGTCTTCTTCCTGCCGTGCGCTCGGGGCACGCGGCGGTTTTCTGCCCGCCGTGCGCCCCGAGGCGCGCGGCGGTTTTCTACACGGCGGATCCGCGCGCGCCCCCCCCCGCCATCCCGTCGCCATTCGTGGCGCCCTCTCCCGTCGCCCGTCGTGGCGTCGCGGGGGCCGCGCGTCCCCCCCATCCCGTCGCCCGTCGAGGCGCCTAGGGGGCCGCGCGTCCCCCCCCTTCTGTCGCCCGTCGTGGCGCCACAGGGGCCGCGCGTCCCCCCCCCCGTTCGCGTCGTCCCGTCGCGACGCTCTGGGGAGCCGCGCGTGGCCCCCGATTCCCCGTCGCGCTGCCCTAGGAAGCCGCGCGCGACCCCCCGCTGCCCCGTCGCGCCGCCCTGGGGAGCCGCGCGCGGCCCCCTGCTGCCCCGTGGTGGCGCCCTGGGGGCCGCGCGCCGCCCCCCCCGCCGTCCCCCGCGCTCCTACCCCTTGCAACCCGTTTTAGGGTTTGGGGGTGAGGAGTGTGGGGGTGGCGGTTGTGGGGGTGCCCGTTGTGTGCGCCGTCCCCTACTCCTCCTCCTCCTCCGTCTCCCGCTGCTGCAGCTGCCGCTCAGGGGGGTGTGTGTGTGGGGAGCCGAAGGAGTGGTGCTAGGGGGGTGAAGGGGGAGTGGAGCTAGGGGCGCAGCAGTGGGTATGTGTCAGGGGGGTGGGACATTTTGGGGAGGCTGAGAGGAGGCTGCCGTCTTGTCGTCTGCAGCACCTGTAGTCCGGGGCGCTGTCCTGGTAGCCCAGAGAGCCTGCTGCGTCTGTCGCCCGTGGGTCCGTTGCTCCTGTAGCTCCTCGTAGCCCGTGAGCCAGTTACTCCAGTAGTCCGGGGCGCTGTCCCGGTAGCCACTGTGCCAGCCGCTGCTGTTGCCCGTGTGTCTGCAGCTTCAGCCGTCGTCTCCCATCTTCTCTCCTCTCACAGTCCCTCCTCCTCCTCACTTGCCCACTGTGACTACCACTAGTTTTGCTTATAATTGTGAACTACTGCTATGCTAGCTCATTGTGCTGATTACACCCCACTTTGGCTATGGGGGTGTGTCAGAATGTTATTGTTGTCTAGCCTGCAGTGGGGTACTCCATAGTGAGTACAGCCCAATTAGGGTTTGCTATATGTATCCAACTGCTTGCTAGTGAAACCCCTCTTTCTTGTTCTAAACTTTCTACTTCTTCTTTCTAACAAAACTATACTTCCGTCCTTCTATCTGCCTGCTCCGCACTTTTCCACCCAATTGCCATTCCACAAATAAGCTTCACGCGTCACATCAGGCATTCCCATGCCTCTTCCGCACCTGCCGCATGCCTCTTGTACCACATCTGCCATTCCACACGATGCTCGGACCAGCAATGATGATAAAATCTGCAAAAATAAGCTGGGTAACGAGGAGAGATGAAAAGAGAGAGAGAGCAAGATGTGTGACACACCAAAGTATCACGAATGGCAGCAATGCATCACACATGGCAGCAACGCATCACATATGGCAGCAATGCATCACACATGGCAGCAATGCATCACACATGGCAGCAACGCATCACACATGGCAGCAACGCATCACACATGGCAGCAACGCATCACACATGGCAGCAACGCATCACACATGGCAGCAACGCATCACACATGGCAGCAACGCATCACACATGGCAGCAACGCATCACACATGGCAGCAATGCATCACACATGGCAGCAACGCATCACACATAGCAGCAATGCATCACACATGGCAGCAACGCATCACACATGGCAGCAATGCATCACACATGGCAGCAACGCATCACACACGGCAGCAATGCATCACACATGGCAGAAATGCATCACACATGGCAGCAACGCATCACACATGGTAGCAACGCATCACACATGGCAGCAACGCATCACACATGGCAGCAATGCATCACACATGGCAGCAATGCTTCACACATGGCAGCAATGCATCACACATGGCAGCAATGCTTCACACATGGCAGCAATGCATCACACATGGCAGCAATGCATCACACATGGCAGCAATGAATCACACATGGCAGCAATGCATCACACATGGCAGCCACACATCACACTCCACACCAGCGCATCTCACCCTGCCAAAAAGCGAGAAACTGACCAATACGCACTGCATCAACACACCCTGCCCCACGCCATTCCAGCAATCCTCACTGCATGCACCCCATCCAGCCTCACTGCATGCACCCCATCCAGCCTCACTGCATGCACCCCATCCAGCCTCACTGCGTGCACCCCATCCAGCCTCACCGGGTCTTCAAGCTAGAGCTGTCAGCCCTCCTTCTCACCCGCCCAGTCCAATCCTCCCTTTCCTTAGCGATCTCCCGTCGATGCATCCACTCTCCAGACATTCATAATTGGCGATCTCGTCTGTCTCATCCTCAAAAAGTGGGCACGCCAGTATTCTGAGGCTCTTGAGGTGGTAGACCATCAAACTGGAAGGCAACGATCGCAGGTTGGGCCAGGAACATAGAGTCAGCTGCTGCAGGCGAGTAAGTTCGTACATGTCATCAGGGAGTGCAGTCAGACGTGGGAATCCAAACAGGAGGAGCGTTGAAAGGTTCTCAAGCCTGCAAACGGACGACATGAAATCGTCAACGAAGCATGTATCACGCTCTGCATCCCCAGCCGGGCAGCTGGTTGGCCATCCGAACTCAAGAGAGGTCAGGCTCGTTTCCCAATTTCGAAGCAGGGATCGCGGAATACTGGTGACGCTGTCGCAGTAATTGAAGGAAAACGTTCGAACGTTGGAGAGGCTGGAGAGGGAATCAGGAAGGTGAGTGAGGCTGCTGAGTTGGCACAGCTCCAAATGCTCTAAAGATGACATGAGATTCATGCCCTCTGGAAGATTCCTTAGTTCAGGGCAAGCTCTAATCACCAAGAGCCGGAGCTTAGTAAGGTTTTGAAGAGGAAGCGAGTTCAGATTCCTGCAACTCCTGATGCTGAGGCTCTCGAGCAAAACGAAATCAGACATGGGGAAACGTTGCACCTCATCAAACTTGGTTAGCTCGAGAACACGTATCGAAGTAAGCGAGAAAAAGGAATCCGGAAGCCTGGAAAGTGACGAGTTGCCAATCAAGGAGCACTCTTGAAGATTCTGAAGGCGACCAATGGTGTCAGGAAGATCCTCCAGCTGGTCTGCATGAGATATGATGAGTTTGACCAGCGAATCAAGGCCTCCAAAGGACTCGGGCAGATGGTGAAATTCCCTGCATCGAGAAATTTGCAGCTCAGTCAGCCCAGTGAGAAGGCCAAAAGATTCTGGGAGCTCGGAGAACTGAAGCATGTCGAACGTGAGCTTCTTCAAGCATCTCAGCTTGCCGAACTCATCTGGAAGGCTTGCGAAGTTGACTTGAAAATATATCTCCGTTAGCGAAGACAGACCGAAGAAGGATGGTGGGAGATCACGGTCACATGAATTAAAGGCCAGCGAGAGATGCTGTAACTCAGTGCAAGCAGTAAATACTGCATCCAGAGCACTCCGAAACAAAGCGGCATCCTGCGGGTTCCTGAGGTCGAGCCGAGTCAACTTGGGACATGCAGATCCGAGGCCGCGGAGAAACTCGCACTCGTCATCGATATAGCATCTGAGTATTGTTAGAGAAGTCAGATTTGGAAACTTTGACAAGGATTTAAGAAGGCCGGTATCTGCTTGAATCACGTTAGTAGGAAGGTCGTCGTCTTCTCGAATCACATCAGCCGCACTAGGACGCATGTAGATCGACGTCTGGGAAAGATTCGCGAGGCGACACCAGCGCTTGCAGACCAGGGCGTGGTTGAAACTGCTAGGCGTCTGCTGGCTCAGTAGACGGAAAATGATGCACAGGAAGTCATCTGATAGATGATCAAACAAGGAGGAGAACACGGAACTACTAAGGCGACGCGATGCTCGGGTTAATGATGATTGAACTCTTTTTAATGAAGTCATGGCTCACACGATGGCCCAATCAAAGGGAGAGCAGAACCTCAGGAGGTGGGAAACACGATATGGCAGAATAGCGTGAGGGCTGGAAGGACGAGATCTAACTACTTGCTGCTGGAAGGACTACTTGCTACTTGCTGCTCGTTTGAGACATTGTTCGCACGTTGCTGCGAACTATGGTAAGCTAGACGGTTGGGAATCTAGAGCCGTTTGCACGGTCCTGAGAACTATGACTAACAGAGCGATTGGGAAACTAGTGCCAAGTGTGGTATGGAAGAGCAATGGTGGTGAAGGCTGGATATGGAATCTGGATGACGGGAGGTTGATTTGTGATGGCAACTCTTGTGCCTCGTACTGTAGCTTGAAGATGGTGGATTCTGGATCTCGGGCTTGGTTCTTCTGTTGTGGTTTCGCTGTCTTGTCGCTGAGGTTCGCCGTATTTCGTTGTGGAGGAACCCACGCGGCTTGGCAAGTTCACCCGACTTGTGTTACCGATTTGTTCGATGAGCTGCATGGACAACGATGCCGACAGCTTTTCGAGGAAACAAATTCGCCCCAAGCCCCTTCGTGTACGGACCGAACGAGTCTCGGTAACACACTTTCGGAGAAATCAACTCTTCGCCAAGTCTTCATTCAGCTCCCTCACACCACTAAGGGCGCGTTCTTGGCTGGTGTCTAGCTTCCGGCCAGGTTTGTCTGGTGTCAGACCCCTCTAGGTACGTCTGACACAAATCGAAAAAATCCCCTCATGCCCGTCAATTTCACCTCGTGTCAAGCAGCTTGGCCCGAAGCCTGACACCAGCCAAGAACGCGCCCTAACACTGGACCCAGATTTGACCCCAACAATCGATCAGTCTAGTTGTCCCTATCATTGGCAGAATTGCTCTCAATAGCTCTTTCCAAACCACCTTCAGGACGAGTCCCCTCCCTCGATCGATCGCAATATCGCTGCCATTTACCGATCGGGCACACCAATCGCGAGTAGCTCATGGCTCCAGACGCGCCAGCTCCGTTCGACGTTATTATAACGCGTCTCAGTCCAAATGTCGTGAATCGTGATCACCCACGGATTTAGTTACCACCAGTCAAGTACAGCAGGCCACTTCCGCTTCAACTCGTCGCCGCTACGCGTCATAGGGAGTTATTGAGGCACGGAGTTCGTCGTGCATCATAACGGTGAATGCTCTAATTAGCTCAAAATACACGGTGATTAAGCCGACGAATCATCATTCGCCGCGCAAGTCACCGTATGAGCTTCCGCGAGTATCTTCCTCTTCCCTTATGTCGAGCGCCACGTCTGCGACTTCGGAACATTCTGTGGTCACAGAGCCTTCCTTCCGTCTTTCCCTTTCCCTCACGGGAAGCTCCTCTAGGCTTTTGCGGCTCAACGCGTCAACATCGGAGTTCGAATTCCGACTTAGGTATCGAAGCTGCCACACGCAACACGCAGGCCCGGTGGGTTCATCGTGCCTCCTGTATGTTCTAGTTTGTGTGTTTTTTGGAACCTCGAATTTCCAGGAAGATTCTCACTTTTAATTGCTCCCATCCTACCCACAGCTTCATTTCTTTTCTGCATCTCTTCGCAACACTGTCCCCCCGGTTCCCCGTCTTTTCCTCTCCTATTTCCCCCTCCACTCCCCACCCGCCCTCCTCTTTCCTATACCCCTCTCCTCCTCCGGCATCTCCCTCCCCTCCTTCCCCCTTCCTCATCCTGCTTCTCCCCTCCAGTTTACCACTCACCCACACCTCAGCACCGCTCTCAACCGCACCATCCCCTGCAGTGAGGCCACTTCTTTCTTGAACCTTCTCTCGTGCGCCTTCCCTTTTCTTCCCCTCTACCTGCCGAATCTCCCCTTTCTTGCACCCAGCTCTCCCTTCTCCCATCGCCTACACTATCGGTCTCCTTCCCCCCATTTGATCTCCCTTTTGTTCCTCCTGCCCTCCTGTGTTTCCAGCTCTGCATTCCAAGCCTTCATTAGAGCACCACCACCACCACCACCACCACCACCACCACCACCACCACCACCACCGCCGCCACCACCATTTTATTTCGTCAACGCTCCATTTGTTCTCTCCCCTCTCCTCCACCCGCCCGCCCATCATGTCTCCCTATTCTCCCTCTTGTTGTCTGTTCAACAGTCAAACGCCCTCGAGAACACCGCAACCAGCAGCATCACCAGCACCAGCAGCCATGCCCCACCAGCAACACTGTCATCACCAAAAACATCATCAGAACTCACTCTCTGACCGCATGCTCCTCGTTTCTGGACCCAGGCGGGCTGGCAGGAGTGCTGCTGCTTGCACCTCCCGCAGCCCCACATGCTGACCCCGCCACTAGCGTCTCTGGCATCACTGATTCCCAAGCTGCCACTCATAGTGCTGCTGCTAGTGGCGGGGATGGAAGTAGGGGGGACAGGGGAAGCAGGCAAGCGCTCAGGGCGGGGCAGGGAAAGGGGCGGAGCATGGAGCGTGGGAGTGGATGTGTGAGGAGGTGGCGAGGAGGCCCGGGCAGATCGGCATGGTGCAGCTGGGAGGGCCCCATGAAGAGGGCAGACCAGGCAGATCGCCGTGGTGCAGCTGGGACCCATGGCCAACCTCGCCCAGGTGAGTGCTTGCAGGAGTGCTTGACTCCCTGCCCCTTGACTCCTTGCTCCTTGTTTCCATGCAATCTTTATCCTCCCTCCCTTCACTCCACTACCTCCGTTCCCTCCTCTCCCTTGCTTCCCTCGCCTCCTTTCCTTTGCTGCAGTGTCCATCCCTAGTATCCAAGGTAGCATGGCAGTGGGAATGCGGAAATGACGACATGAGCAGACCGATCATCACTGCAAGAATGAGTGAGGTAAAGCGTCAAGGAGATGGACACAGCAGCTGCATGTTTGTCAGGAAAAACGAGCATAAAATGTGCATTTTTTTGGTGTCCCATAACGCTTTCCCCTCTCACCCATCCTTTCACCCCTTTTTCTTCCCCTTCCCCTTCGTCTCAGTGCTTTCCTTTAGTTGAATCTCCTTGTCTAAAACCAGGCGCGGGCAACGAGAAGAGAAGGCGGATTTCATGAGGTGGAGGCAGCGGATGGATGGATGGCACCCCGGTGGCATTTCTTCTAGCCTGGTCAGAGGTTCTTGACACACATGCTACTAAGATTCCAGCTGACACGGCATGGTATGCTGTGGCTCACATGCTCGCATGCACCTCCCATGCTCGCACCTTCCTGTGTTGGTGAGGTTGGGGGACGAGAGTGCTAGGCGATGCAAGGAGGTGAGGGGTGGGTGATTCAAGGAGGTGAGGGGTGGGTGAAGAAGTGGTTTCATGACGGAAGGAGGGAGAAAAACATTGTGTTTATTGAGTGGAGCCGAGGTAGCATGTGCCATGTCATTATCTCATATGCCATGTCATCGTCCCATCTCCTGTGTAATTCTCTCAACTCCCTCAAGTCCTTCCTTGCTGGCCAATCGCCCTCAGTGTCAGCTTTCTCAGACAATGGCAGGACTCACCACATGCTTCACTCTACCACTCCCTACCTCCACTCCCTCATCCCTCACGTAGCATCACCTATTGTAAGTGTTCTTACACTCAACATCTCATCCTCTTTTCTTTCGCTCCCAGCTTTCTTCCCCAACCCTCCTACTGTTCATCCATACCTCCACTCTATCCATCCGTTTCTTCTAACCGTCTCAACACCATCACCAGAGTCAGTCACAACGACTCCTTGTCGCAAACATCCAGCTACATGCCTCCATTCCTTTTCCTCTCCCTTACCCGTTCTCCCCGCGCTCCCCCTCCTTACTCTTCAGCACCATGATCACCAATCAGTCTTGCATCATATTCCATGTGCCATGTCTCACCTTTCTCGATCCCCACCCAACACATCACATTCCGTCTCACACCCTTTTCCCTTCGTCACTGCCCCAATAAACCAGCTGCTGCAGGCCCACAGGAGAAGAAGCACTGCATAAGCTGAAGGCACGGCGTGTCGTGACACAGGAGCGTTGGCACAAGGAGAAGGCATGGCATGGATGATGGCCCAGCAGTTTGTGTGGCCTGGCAGTGTGTCAGCTGCTCATGAAAACAGCGGGCACGGATGCAGCAGCATGGCAGCTGGTGCAGCAGGCAGTGCAGCCACAGAGCTTCCAGCTCCACTCGTGGAAGATGGGCGCTTGTGTACTGCTAGAGGTCTCCCTCTCATTGAGTTGCAGGTTTGGAGACACGAATGCGAACGAGCATGAATGGCATGTGCTGCACTCTTGCATGGTAAAAGTGCTAACTAATCATGCGAGGATCGCCTATCTTGTGAGCGGGTGCAGTGCAGTGATGGCAGGTGTGGCCGCACAAAGTCGGTGGCTGTGTTGTGTTGGCAGCAAAGATTGCTGCGTTTCGACTTTGAGATTCTTTGAAGTCAAGCTGCAAAACAAGCAACATGCTAGTAGAGTGAACGTCATATGCACAAATTACCGTAGAACAGTGTAAAGGTGGAACCATAGTAGTGACTTTGTGCTTTCCACTACTGGTATCATCAAGACCACCTCCTAATGGAAAAGATGACTAATCCTATGCAAGCTTTTCTAAAATCATGTAAAATCTCTTGCATATTCTGACACACCAGCACCCCACCCTATCCCATCCATTCACGCCTTTCCCCCAATTGATACATTTCCCAACAGTCTACCATCAACACATTCCCTCTCCAGGTTTGGAATCTTGAGGATTATCTCATCCTCGTCATCCTCAAAGCGTTGGCATGCAGTAATCACGAGACTCCTGAGGCTGGTGAGACTGCTCATGTAATCGGGCAAGCACGCTAAGTTAGGCAATGAAGTTAAAGTCAGCCGCTGCAGCTTTGAGAGATTCATCTCATGTGAAAACCGAGTGAGGTCGCGGAGGCCAGAAAGCAGGAGCGTCGACAGATTCGAGAGCTGAAAAACAGTCGACATGAAGGCTTCTTGATCCTCCTCGCCGAGAATGCAGCTGGCTGGCCAACCAAACTCAAGAGACGTGAGGCTGCTCCAATGCTGAGGCAGGAATGGAGAAATTATCTCGATGTTGTCGCAGTAGTTGAAAGAAAAGTTGCGCAGATTGGAGAGCTTGGAGATTGTATCTGGAAGGTGAGTAAGGCTTTCAAGCTGGCTCAGCTCAAGATGCTCAAGAGATGACATGCGATCTATGCTCTGTGGAAGGTCCATGAGCTTTCTGCAATTCCTAAGGACCAACACGCGGAGGTTAGAAAGAGTGCAGAGGGAGTCAGAGATCGAAGAGAAAAGATTGCAACTTCTGATGCTTAGCGTCTTAAGAGAAACGAGGCCTGACACCGCGCTTGGAAGGGAGTCAAAACGATCACAACACACGATTTCGAGAACTTGTAAATTGGCATGATGGAAAATGGAATCCGACAGTGTTAAGTCGTAATTGTTATGTAAGTAGAGCACTTGGAGGTTCTGAAGCTGGCTGATGGTGTCCGGAAGAGTTCCCAACCCGTCAAACTCACTAATGCTAAGCCTGACCAATGACTTTAGACTACCAAAGGAGTCAGGCAAACGGTCCAGCGATCCATAATTTCTCAACAATTGCAACTCGGTCAGCCTGGCGAGCTGGCCGAGGGACTCTGGAAGGTGGTCACTCAACGTAGGGGCGAGGGTCAGCTTGGTCAGAAAACTTAGGTCGCCAAATCTATCAGGTAAACGCGTGAAGTTGACGTCAAGATAGACCTCCGTCAAGGATGAAAGGTCGAAAAAGGATGGTGGCATATACCGAGTGCCTTCGCCGTCGTCAACTATCATCATGTTAAGCGAGAGGTACTGTAATGCGGTGCATGTCCTAAAGAGGGTATCAGCACCATCATACGTGATCCCTTTTCTCAAACCACCGTTGTTCAAGTCCAGATGGGTCAACTTGGGACAGGCAGATCCTAGACCATGGAGGAACTTATCATTCGGATCTAGAACGCACTTGTTAATCGTGAGAGAAGTCAGGCGTTTGAACCGGGAGAGGTTAGTCATAAGTTCAGCATTAGCAGTAAGGCTAGGCGACCTATTGGCGATAGACGTCTGTGCAAGGTAAGCGAGGCGGTTCCATCGTTTACAGACCAACGCGTGATTGAAGTAGCTAAATGACTGCTTGTTCAGACAACGGAAGATGAGGTTTATGAGCTCGTCCGGCAGCTGATCAAACGACAATTGCGACATGACTCCACCGCGAATCGAGACCAGGCGTGGCGATGATGGATTTCTAGTATCTACAACATCTATTACACTAAAGTCGGAAAGTAAGAAACAAACGCAGGATCTAGACAGTCGGACTTGCGAGAATGGCGTCGGCTGAGGAATTTTGGATATCTACACCTGTTCTCCGATATCTTCACTACCCTTAATTTCACACCGCGGCTCGGTATCACTTCGGGGTCCTCAGCCCAACTTTCTTGGAAGCCGAGCTGCCAAAGTGTGGTTGAACATCTAGACCCCCCCCCACAGAAATGACGCATTTTATACTCGTGAGGCTGAGATGGAAGCCACAACTTCTGAAAAAGTCGGGGCGTATTCTTAGTGAGGTTCGGACTAGGAAATTTGACTTCGTGTCGTGTGAGCTTGCTGTAAATTTTGAACTTCGTATTCCTCCAAAACAGTGTCAACGTTTGATAGGCCGACATGAACTTCTTCGAAACAAAACTGAGCAATGCCCTGATTCTGTTTTGGGTGTGAACCCAGCCCCACGCAATCCTGACGTGGTGATGTGGCACTGGCTGGATAAATTTCCTTGCAATCGTGCGATGAACTTTATCCATGTCAGCTGCAGGCTTTGCGACTCGTGTGTGAAATTAAAGCGACGGTGCACATTTGCCACCCGAAACCCTAAACCCTGGCGAATTGTTACTGCAGAGGAAAATTGTCTACACGAAATCCAGGTTTTCGCCAGCCAACACTTTCGCGCTGGCAAGCCTGGTTCAAAACAAAAACTTCTGAACCTCCGCCAGGCAAATCTAGACCCTCGTTTTAAAGCTTTCGTATACATTTGAAAGTACTGTTTGTGGTGGAACAGTAGCCACCAAGATTTCGCCCCAACGAAAAGAAAGGGGCTTGGCGAGAGGGGTTGCGAAAATTTGGAGGATTGAGGGGTGGGAACACGAGAAACTCTCCCGTCACCCAACCCTTGAGCGACACTCACAAACGCAAGTATAAGCAACTAATTACTAGGAAAGGCCTTGATAGAACTAGCAGCGCAACTACTCACCCTGACCTAATCGCCCGTGGTAAGGGGACACGGGGCTATACAAAAGCCTTTAGCTGCAGGGGCGGTTTGCATTCGGATGGGCCGTCGCGTAGCATTCGTCGAGCGATGCCATGCGGCACACGGGCGAGCGCCTCGACGAGTTGCATTATGCTGGCTCGCTGCGATGCAATCGTCGAACCAGCGATAAATTATTCAGTGAGCCGTCGCGTTCCACCCTGCGGGCTTCTCGCCTAGCGCCATTATGCATCGCGAAACCCGCTGATGGCGAAACCCGCTGATCGCGATACCCGCTCCTCGCCAAACACGGTGCTCGCGAAATCCGTTTAGCGCGTCACCCGCTTCTCGCCTCACCCGCCGCATGCCTCACCTGCGAATCGGCAAAATACTTGCCTCACGCGCTGCTTGGCTCATAACCTTATTTCGTCATTTCCCCCCCTTCCGCCTCTCATTTTCCCGGAGCTCCTCCCTCTCGTTTCCCCCCTTTCTCCCTCTCGTCCCCCCCCCCCCCTCCGCCTCTCATTTTCCCCCCTTCTGCCTCTCGTTTTCCCCCCTTCTCCATCTCGTTTCCACCCATCCTCCCTCTTGTTTCCCCCCTCCACCCACTCGTTTCCCCCCCTTCTCCCTCTCGTTCCCCCCCCATCCGCCTCTCCTTTCCCCCCCTTCCGCCTCTCGTTTCCCCCCCTTCTCCCTCTCATTTCCCCCCCTCCTCCCTCTCGTTTCCCCCCCTTCCCCGTCTCGTTTCCCCTCCTTCTCCTCTCATTTCCCCAACTTCTCCCTCTCATTTCCCCCCTTCTCCCTCTCATTTCCCTCTTCCCCCTCTCATTTCCCCGCTTTCCCCCTCTCGTTTCCCCCCCTTCTCCCTCTCATTCCCCCCCTCCTCCCTCTCGTTTCCCCCGCTCTTCCCTCTCGTTTCCCCCCTTTCTCCCTCTCGTTTTCCCCCCTTCCGCCTCTCATTTCCCCCCTTTCCCCCTCTCGTTTCCCCCCCTTATCAATCTCGTTTTCCCCCCTTCTCCCTCTCATTTCCCCCCCTCCTCCCTCTCGTAACTCCCCCTTCCCCCTCTCGTATTCCCCCCTTCCCCCTCTCATTTCTCTCCCTCCTCCCTCTCGTTTCCCACCCTTCCCCCTCTCGTTTCCCCTCCTCCTCTCATTTCCCCAACTTCTCCCTCTCATTTCCCCCCTTCTCCCTCTCATTTCCCTCTCTTCCCCCTCTCATTTCCCCGCTTTCCCCCCTCTCGTTTCCCCCCCTTCTCCCCCTCATTTTCCCCCTTTCTTCCTCTCATTTCCCCCCTATGCTCCCTCTCATTTCCCCCCCTGCTCCCTCTCATTTCCCCCCCTGCTCCCTCTCATTTCCCCCCCTGCTCCCTCTCATTTTCCCCCCCTGCTCCCTCTCATTTCTCCCCCTGCTCACCCTCACTTCCCCCCTTTCTCCCTCTTCATTTCCCCCTCTCCTTCCCCTCATTTCGCCCTCTCCTTCTCCTCATTCACCCTTTCCTTACCCTCATCTCCCCATCTCGTTTCTCGCATTTCCCCTACTCCGTCCCCTTGTTTCCCCCTCTCCCCTCATTTCATCCTCTCGTTCCTCTTGTTTCCCACATTTCCCCTTATCCGTCCTCTCCTCTCCCTTTCTCCGTCCCCTCCTTTACCCCTCCTTCCCCTCATTTTCCCCTCTCCCTCCCCTCATTCCCCCCTCTCCTTTCCCTCATTTCCCCCCTCCTTACCCTTCCCTGCCCCCACCCTGCCGGCAGGTGAGTGCGCTCATGCTGCTGGCGCGCGTGAGGGAGCTGCAGCGCCCTCACATGCTGCACAGTCCTTCCCCTCCTCCCCCCTTTGCTTACCCTTCCTTACTTCCCCCCGTGCAACCCTTGCTCCCCCTTTGCTTCCCCTCCCTTCCCCTCCAGCTTACCCTCTGTTTCTTCTGCAGCATCCTTGCATGATGCACATGGGCACAGCACAGCATTGTATGCGACATCTGACGTGTGTTGTACTCAACTCAAGATACATGGAGGGTTGTCCCCAGCTCTAGCTGGTCATAATTTGTTCAACACTTGTTGAAGAGAGCTGAAAAGAGAGAAAGGCAGCACGAGAGGGGAAAAGAGGGAAAGGCAGGAGGATTGTGAAAAAGAGGGGAAGGGTAATGCAGGGAGGGGAAGGGTAATGCAGGGAGGGGAAGGGTAATGCAGGGAGGGGAAGGGTAATGCAGGGAGGGGAAGGGTAATGCAGGGAGGGGAAGGGTAATGCAGGGGGGAAATGAGAGGGAGAAGCAGGGAAAATAATGAGGAGAAGGGGGGGGAATGAGAGGGGGAAGGGGGGTAAACGAGAGGGGGAGGCGGGGAAACGAGAGGGAGAAGGGGGGGAAACGAGAGGGAGAAAGGGGGGAAACGGGGTAATGGGGAGGCGGGAAGGGGGGTGGCGGGAAGGGGTAATGGGGAGCGGGAATGGGAAATGGGGAGGCGGGAAGGGGTAATGGGGAGCGGGAAGGGGAAACAGGGAGGTGGGAAGGGGAAACGGGGAGCGGGAAGGGGAAACGTGCAGGCTGGAATGAGAATTGAGGAGTAGAGAAGGGAAAACGGGGAGGCGGGAATGGGAAATGGGGAGCGGGAAGGGGAAACGGGGAGGCGGGAATGGGTAATGGGGAGCGAGAAGGGGAAACGGGAAGGTGGGAAGGGGAAACGGGGAGCGGGAAGGGGAAACGGGGAGGCGGGAATGGGTAATGGGGAGCGGGAAGGGGAAACGGGAAGGTGGGAAGGGGAAACGGGGAGCGGGAAGGGGAAAAGGGGAGCGGGAAGGGGAAACGGGGAGGCGGGAAGGGGAAACGGGGAGGCGGGAAGGGGAAGTCGGGAGCGGGAAGGGGAAACGGGGAGGCGGGAACGGGAATTGGGGAGGCAGGAAGGGGAAACGGGAAGGCGGGAAGGGGTAATGGGGAGCGGGAAGGGAAAACGGGGAAGCGGGAAGGGGTAATGGGGAGCGGAAAGGGGAAACGGGGAGGCGGGAAGGGGTAATGGGGGGCGGGAAGAGGAAACGGAGAGGCGGGAAGGGGAAACGGGGAGCGCGAAGGGGAATTGGGGAGGCGGGCAAGGGGAAACGGGGAGGCGGGAAGGGGTACTGGGGAGCGGAAAGGGGAAACGAGGAGGCTGGAACGCGAATTGGGGTGGCAAGAAGGGAAACGAGGTGGCGGGAAGGGGTTGGAATGCAGTCGTTCGCGCACTCAAGTGCGGCTGCCGGGGCTAGTGCGGAAACATGGTAGCGAGGCTGTGCGATCGGGCCGCGACTGTGATCGTGCGTGTTCGGCAGTTTGAGACGAGTCGTACGCGTTCACGGTGGCGTGAGGAGGCAGCGTCGTGAGGCGACACGACGGACGACGAGGCGAGGCCGTGAGAGGAGGTCCCGCGGGATCGCTGCGTGAGAGGGCGGAACTGACGTTGGTTTATCCCTATAATTACACTAAACTGCCCCACGTGTCTAGGTTTGTGTCGGAAACGAGGGTAATTTGCGCTGGCTGTTTGAGTCGCGATGTGCTTAGCTACGGATTATGCTGCCCGTAGAGCGTACTGGCGTAGATCTCACGTAGGCTGGATTTCGTATACTTTTGTCGACCCAAAAGTTTTGAATCACCAGCGAGTGCTGGGTGTCGGGGAGATCTCCCTCCCTTGTTCAGAGAGTGAACTAGCTGTAATTGGGTTACCAATATTTCAAATTTCAAAACTTTTGAACCTCCCTCTTTCAAATGTATACAGAAGCTTTAACCAGAACATTTTTGCTCTGTCAAATTTCACACCCTCTCGGGCAAACGTTAACGCGACTCGGGTATGTCCCCCCGTGAAATTACCGGAGAAGAGGTGTAATAAGAATCCTGTGAGGTTTGAGACCTGGCTATTCTGGCTTGGTTTCGCTGTCTGCATCTGCTCGGAGGGAAACCTCGTTGAGGGTTTACGTAGCAGGAAGGTCTTGGAGCAGATGAAATTTGACACGGCTTTCTTGGGTGCTGTGGCGTGCATGTTACCCTCGTCACAAGCTCATGGTTCGCGCGATGACGAAGCGTCAACGGTAGGTCGACACGTGCAGCGCGACAACTGTAATTTCGTCAACTCCAAACCTCGTACATCACAATCAGTTACCATATCGTTCCTGCCTCAGTTGCATTTGTCGCGTCAGTTCGCAAGGGACGTCTCAATGCTGGAAACGAGCCTTCGATTGTTGCCTGACAGGCGTGGCGGCGAAACCCATCCACCCTCAGCACTGCCAATCAAGGTGACGACTGAACTCGGTAACAAAATTGGACTTCTGTTATCGTTTCGCTCCTAGCGTTGGGAGTAACGAAAGCTTCTCGCGAACAAAATGTGTTCAGGTTCAGCTCGCGTCCGTATTGATCGAGGTGTACGGCTGAACTTGGTAACTCATACGACGAGATTCAAGATCTCGTCACTCATTATAATGGGATCGACTTTACTGCCTCTTTTGGCGGAATCAGAGTCTGCTTCTTTCCGCACCAAGCGCCTTCGGCTGCATTAGTCATGTCGTTGCTCAGATATTATTACCTCATGGCGCCAGACGCGCCTGTTCCGATCGACGTTTTATCATAAACTCGTCTCCAGCCATAGGTGGGTCAGTGCAGGTTCTAGTGAGTGGCGATCACCCACGAATGTGGTTGCTACCTATCAGGTAGAGCAGGACTATTTCGCCTTCGAATTAGATTCGCCGCCACACTTCATAGCGAATGAAGCCACTTCCGTCTTAGCGCTGTTATGGTGGATTTTGAGTCAGCTCAAATTCACAGTGATGAAGAAGAACTATCATTATTCGCCGCTCAGTCGCCTTCTAAGGTCGCAAGTCTCTTCTTCCTGCCGTATATTGAGCTCCAAATTGACGACCCGAAATATTCGTGTCCGCAGCGCGCTGCTGGCGCCTCCAGTGGGTTATCTCTAAACGACTACTAGTAAGGCGTTTCAGTTAGGGTTCCGAGTGAAAATTTGCCAACCTCGTTCCTCGACCTTCTCTTCCTTGACTCTTCTGCATTTCTCATCCTCTCCCCTTCCTCTCTCTCCCTCCACTCCTCCTCTGTTCCCTCTTCCCCGCTTCCCCTCCCATCCTCTCCTCTTCCCCTCCCTCCTCTCCTCTCCCCTCCCATCCGCCATTCAGACGACGCTTTGGCCGTCCTCGCAGCTTTGAAGTGCCCGTCCATTCGTGTGCTCGGTATCGCCACGTCATTCAGCCACTATGTGACGTGTGAAGCTGCCACACTCAACGCTCAAGGACTGGTGGGTTTACTGTGCTTTCACTTCAAGCATCTGCCATCCTTGGTTGGAAGCTTGTAATGTGTGTGTATATGGAAACTCTGTGGTTGAAGTGTTTGTGACGCTGATTTCTACAGTGGTTGTCATATTGTGTATACCCCGGACACAGACATTATTACAGCTTGATTTGGTCTAGGCAAATACAATTCAACGCTAATTGCTCTTATTCTGTCCGCGGTTTCGTTCCTTGCCTGCATCTCATCTGCAACGCCTACATCCCCCCTATCCCCACTCTTTTCCACCCCTCTTTCCCCTCCCCCCCTTTCTTCTCCTCTTCCTGCCCTCCCATCTCACTTCTTCCCTTTCCCTGTTCCCTCCTCTTCCAGTGCATAGCATCAGGTCTCCAAGATACACCCATTGTTCAAGGCGCCACAGCGTTGCTCTCAGCCGCACCAAATTCAGTAGTATTCCCACAACGATATTAATGCTTTCAGACCAGCAGCAGCAGCAGCAGCAGCAGCAGCAGCAGCAGCAGCAGCAGCAGTACCCCCAGCACTCCTGTTCCAGCGTGCCCCTCGTTTCTGGCCCGGACGGGCTGGCAGGAGTGCAGTGCGGGGCAGGGAAGGGGGCGGAGGAGCAGATGTATGGAGAGGGGGCGGATGGAGAGGGGGCGGAGCGGAGGGCGTGGGAGTGGATGTGTGAGGAGGTGGCGAGGAGGCCAGGGCAAGTCAGCATGGTGCAGCTGGGACCCATGACCAACCTCTGTGAGTGCTTGCACGGGTGCTTCACTCAGTGCCCCTTGTTTCCATGCGACCCATGTCCTCCCATCCATCCCTCCCCTCCCTCCCATCCCTCCCCTCCTCCCCGTCCCTCCCCTCCCTCCCCTCCCTCACCTCCTGCCGTTGTTGTGCTGCTCGTTTCCCAAACCTCCATGTCATTGCTCTCCCAGTGCCCCTCCATAGTGTCCGAGGTCCCTGTCATCTGAATGGCGTCAGGGGGAGCATGGTGGTGGTAGCATGGCATTGGGTGTTCGAAAGTGAGAATATGAGCAGAAATCAATGCTCTGGGGATGAGATGATGAGAGAGGTTAGACGTCACGAGCAATTGCAATAATGCTGCATTTTTTTCTGAAGCTTCTGTACAAGTTTGTCAGGAGAAACGAGTATAGATTGTGCATTCAATGCGTTTCCCATAACCCTGTTCTCTCTCACCCAACCCCCCCTGCTCCACCAACCCTTGTCGCTGTGCTTTCCTCCAGCCAAATCTCCGTGTCTAAAACCAGGCATGGGCAAGGACAAGATGGATGGCACACGGTGGCATTCCTTCCAACCGTGTTAGAGGGAGATGGCACACCTGCTATTACGATTGTAACTGGCATGGCATGGCATGGTTTGCACTGGTTCGTATGCTCGCATGCACCTCCCATGCTCGCGCCCTCCCGTGTTGGTGAGGTTGGGAAGGGGGGAGAGAGGCGGGTGGTGCAAGGAGGTGAGAGGTAGGTGAAGAAGTGGAATCCTGCGCTTATTGAGTTGAGCCGAGTGTCCAGTCGCCCAGTGCCATGTCATCCTCCCACGTGTTCAGGCGCCATTCTATATGCCATGTCATAATTCCGTATGTGATATCTTCATTCCATGTGCCATGCCATCAGTCCATATGCCGTGTCATCATCCCATCTGCTGTGTGATCCTCTCAACTCCCCCAACTCTTTCAACTCTCTGCACTGGCAGCGCCCTTTGGCAATAAAAGGTGAAGGCAAGGCGGGCAGCAGCCTGTGGGGCCTTGCAGCGTGTGAGCTGCTTGTGAGGGCAGTCAGCACGGATGTAGCAGCTGGTGCACCACGGCAGCACGGCAGCATGGCAGCAGGTGCAGGTACAGCAGGCAGTGCTGCCACAGACCTTCCACTTCCCCTCTTGCCAAACAGGGCCCCATGTAGACAGCCTCAGTCGTGTGTCCCTTTTATTCACGCACAAATTACTGAGTCCGATATATAATTAGGAATGCGTTCAAGCATGCCTGCTTGCCAGGCCAGGTGCCTTGCACATCGCGAATAGCAGCAGCCAGAGTTCAAAGTGGAAGTGCTCTGGGCCTACCTACCGTATCAGAGAGGGTGCAGCCAACCGTGAGGATTGCCACACCTGGGAGATGGTGCAGTGGTGGTGGTACACGCACAATGCCAGACCAGGGAGGTGCTGTGGTGGTAGGTAGCTCATGTCACACTAACCGATGTGGATGTGTTGTGTTGGCATGGCAGCAGTGGTTGCAAGCTTTGGAGTTCAAATTTCTTCAACAGCGTAGGACTGCAAGATAAGCAACCTGTGTCAATAGAGTAGGTACCGTAGCTTCCATGTTGACAAATCACATACCGTATAGCCCCGGATATAACCGCAGGCCTATGTTAAGCGCATGCGCTTCTATCTGGAGCAATGCGCTTATGGCCGATCCTCAATTAGAAGCGCACCCCCTGAAAAATCGTTACTTATTATAAGCGCACCCCTGCTGTATAACAAGTATTTTTATTGAAATTTAGCACTTTAAAAACAACCTACATCCAAGCTACACTTCTCTAGCTAACAATTTCAACTAAAACTTCAGTGTCAAATACATTTAACTTGAATACTAGCCTACACACCATTTTCAAGATTAGTCTAGCCTAAGGCCTATTCCTCGTCCGATTCAGGCTTTGTGGAGTTGTTGCCAAAGAACCCGTCTGCTTGCACGTCGTCATCTACCTCTACCTCGTGGGACAGCTGACCTCTCCGGTGCGCCAGCACGAGTCCGTCTTCACTCCCGTCAAGGGCATTGCTGATGCCGCAGGTGAGGAACGCTTTCTTAATCAGGTCGGCGGGCACAGCTTTCCACGCCCGCGAAATCCACTTGAGCACCACCTCCGGAGGTGGTTTCTTGATGTTCCCTGCACCACAGACACGGGGGTGGGAGACACGTGAGTCCACAAGCAGGCAGACAAGCAGACAAAGCGGTCACGGGAGAACACTTTGCGTACCTGCGGGCGTCAGGATGTTCATGCCGTCCTGCTCGAACCAGGTCTGGTACTGCTGCCGAACACTCGCCTTGAAGCTTTTGTTGACCGACACATCGAGCGGCTGCAAGTCTGCCGTGCATCCCGCCGGGATGACCGCCGGCACGATGTTGAGTTCCGCGAATTTCGCCTTGACTTCGGGTGTCAGGTGACCACGATAGGAGTCGAGCACCAGCATGGCGCTCCGGCTCTGCAATCCGAACTTCGGTTTCAGGAACGGCACCACGCCTGAGGCGAGCCACTCGATGACGCCCGAGGCCTCCATCCACCCGTTAGCTTGGCAGCCGATCATGACATTTGCATACAAGCAAGCGTCGGTTAGATTATAAAATTTCTTTTATTTCCATTTCGCATAAGCAGCTTCTTACCGTTCGGGAAGTCACCCTTTGGGAGGGTCTTGCGCTTGAAATACACCCACGGCTTCAACTTCTCGCCCGTCGCCGTGCACGCCAGCATTACAGTGACTCTCTCTTTCTGGTAACCACCGCTGCGGATGGGCACCGACTTCACGCCCTTCTGCTCCACCGTGGTAGTCGCCGGCATCTCCAGCCACAAAGGCGTCTGGTCGGCATTGATGATGTAACGATTGTCGATGTCGTAATCGTGGCGTGCGTCGCGGACAAACTGCCAAAATTCCTTGCACTGCTTCACCACGTCTGCGCACGGGGAGGGAGGGACGGGTAAAAGGGCGGATGAGCACCGCTACAGATAAACATACATAGGCAAGAAAGTACAGAGATACAACATAAAATTTCACGCTAGCATGACAGTGCACGGAAAGGCACTTACGCTGTTGTGTCTTTTGCGCCACCTTTGTTTTCATGCGCACGGTGAGATTCCACCGCTTGCGGAACCGCTCCGTCCAGCGCTGACTCGCCTTCCACATGACGTCCGGGAACAACACCTTCATCACCTCTTTTGACCAGTCTTGCAGCCGGCCGACTGATACTGCCACACCGCGGCGTCGCCAGTCCAGGAGTTGGGCGTACACTTTCATCTCCATGGGTCTGTACCAGGAAGACCTTCCGCGCCCATGAAGCCGACACCGAGCGCTGTGTGCCGACTTGAGCTCCTCCGCTTGGTTTTTCCAATCTGTGAGGCATTTGCGGTGTATGCCGGACTCCCGCGCGACCTCGCTTATCGATGCCGCAAGCTCCAGCCGAACGAGCCACTTCAGTCTCTCTTGGGCGGTGTAGCGCTGCCGTTTGTGTTGAGTCAGCTTGTGCCTGGGAGAGGGGGGGCGGGCATCTCGGTTCTCAGAGGAGGGGTGGGGTCGTTTTTTGTTAATCGGCGGATACGTTGGGATCGGCATCTTCTCGCGTAGTGCGTCGCGCCAACAAGATTCCACACCGTCGTCGTCCGCGTCTGTTTCTTCACGATCTGGGAACACATCCTCCTCGGCGCCTTCTTCACCATCGACTCCACCGTCGCCTCCACCGTCGCCTCCAGTGTCGCCGTCGCATGTGGGTTGTTTATCGCCTGCCACGTCATCTTCGGCGCCCACAGCGGACTCGTCCCACGTGCAGGCTTCTGGATTTCCCCACCGCGGTGCAGTCGGCGGAGCATCGATTCGCTTAGCCTTGGGTGTGTCCGGTTCAGACAGCCACTCGTCGAAAGTGGCTGGCAAATACAGCTGGAGCACGGGCCGTTGGTGAGAATTCGCGTCAGGAACAGGACTCGGAGGATTCGGAGGAGCTGGAGGAGCAGGAGGAGCAGGAGGTGCAGGAGGAGCAGGCGGAGCAGGCGGTGCAGGGGGTGTAGGTGGCACTGGAGGCGCTGGTGGCTCACGGGTATACCACCCGTCCGCGGTTAGTCGCCACGCGCGAGTTGGTTTTTTCTTGAAAAGGAAGTGCGTCCCACTGAATTCCGCCATGGCTTCGCCAGCTAGGCAGGCTAGACTAGAAACTGAATGAAAAAAATGAGGAGGAGGGTGAAGAAATGGGCAAAGACGGGGACCCCTGCGGGCTAGCGGCTCGGGGTCCTCGTCAATGACAGGCAGGAAACCCCCGCCTACCCTCGTAGAGGAGCCTGCGTGGCAGCATATTCTCTGCGCTGGCAGGGAATCTTCCCCACCCTTCGAGAGGGTTCGAAAGAAATGCGGATGCCACGCAGCGCATGCGGCTGTGATTGGGCCGCACGGCAACATCCCGTCACTGCTGTCACTTTCGATGGTTCTAGACAAATTTGTGCGGTGGGAAACCAAACCGCTGCTGTTTTTGCCTGAAAACCATGCACGATCCCACTTGTTGCATGGTCCGGTGGATTCGCCTTATTGCGGACTTCAGTTTAGTATGTTTAAAAGTGAATTTCAATTTTCCCTTATTATAGGCGCATGGGCTTATACAGACACCTCAATTAGAAGCGCACCCCCCCAAAAAACACTGTTTTATTATAAGCGCACCTGCGCTTTTATCCGGGGTAGTACGGTAACATGAGAAACAAAACAATCGCTTACTGCCTGTTAAATATACAAACATAAGATAATACAAATGCTGTTAGATTTTACTGTAGTGTTCCTTTATAAGACTCCCAGCCCTCAAATAATTGTACAATTATTGGAAGGCCAGAATTATTGGAGTCTAGAATTATTGGAGGGTAAGAATGATTGGCGGGTAGAATTATTGGTGTGGCATTATTGGTGTGGATAGGGCCATTCTGAGGGGGTTAGCTGCAGACATGAATACCCTGCTCTGTCATTCCAGTGCATCAATGAATTCCATTGCAAACTTTCTGTTATGTCTTGTTATACAATCAAGGCTTCCGCTACGACGGCACTATGCCTTTCTATCATGGTATCAGAGCTACTCTAGGGGGCATGCTGCCGAAATTTGGTTAGAACTCAATCATCTAAATTGGACAGGTAGATTAGCAAATCTGCACAGCAAGTGGCAACATCTGGTGTGAAGGCATGGCGCGGTTCGACGAGGAAGTTGATGCCGGATACGAGG